CCCCAAAACCCCAAAACCCCAAAACCCCAAAACCCCTTATTTTATAATATTTATTGAATTTCCCAATACTGCTAGATTTCACAACTCAAAATGGTAAATAAAATTGATAAAAGCATATTTTTTTTCATTCTCAGCTCGCCATTTAAGGATTATCTAAAAATATAGGATTTCAATGTTTCAGGATTGACCTATGATGAACTACAAGGAGAGATACATTATGATACTCGAAAGAAAATGATAAATAGATGCATGATGAACTTGGCCTACGAAATAATAATATTTCTAATAATCTCTACACTTTTCTACCTTGGGAGAAATGAAGATTGATATCTATCTATAAATTCTTTCTGAAAGACATCATTATAATTGTGAAAGGTGGAATAGTGATTCCCTTAGTCCTAATGATAATGATATTACTATCTTACAACTACTTAAACACTGACCAGGTAGAAATGATCGCATCATTGATTACTATCCCTTCAAGTGGCTGGTTTTGCTATGTTGCAAGCTTGTACTTTAGCAAGGAAAATACTTGTAAAACTGATGCTAAACATTTGTTCTATCTTCATTCGATTCTAGCTCTTGAAGCAATATGGTTCTTCTGCAAATTATTCCTCATAGTGATCCTTCTCTCAGGAATCCTCCTTTCAATGCTTATCAGGAACTATCTCAACTGAAGGAGATCCAATCGCCAAAAGAAGACAGTAAAGGAAAAGATATTTGGGCGAAAATCCCTAGATGTCTCCTTCTCTAAAATAAACCCTGATGAATTTTGTATTATCTGAATGGAGGTATATAAGCCACAAGACCAGATGATAAGACTGCCATGAACACAGAAGCACTTCTTCCATTCGAAGTGAATAGGAGATTGGATTTCAGTGACCCCTAAATGCCCTCTCTGAAACATCGATATTGACGCTAGTATGTCTGTTTCTAATGAATCATAATGGTGTGACCCATAATTAGCCAACCTCAATTATAATTTATAAAAAAGGGGTTTTGGGGTTTTGGGGTTTTGGGGTTTTGGGG